TCTATGGTCAACCACCAAGTTTTCCTCACCAATGCTCCGATCAATAGAAACACGATGAAGATGACATTATTCAAGGTATCTTTCCTGAATGGTCGTAGGCCTTGGTTGGATTTCAGAAGTGATTCTTTTTTGCTAGAGCATCAGTCGACAAACATTGAGAAGCTTCAGCAGTTGATCGAGGGATGTGCAGGAATCGGGGCAGTTGACGTTGGTTTCAGATTTTTGGGAGTTGACACATGCCTTTTCGTGGAGCAGAATCCGACCTTTTGCAAATGGGTGAAAGACAGGTACTCAGTCCAAGTGATTCAAGGAGACATCTCAGCGTCAGCTACGGCGGCCGAAGTCGCAAAGCAGACCGGGTCTGGAAAGATGGTGAGCGCAGGTATCTCATGTCAACCGTTTTCACTGGATGATCATAGCAGGTCTTTCACTGGAACCCTTCAGTTGAGCTATCTTTTACAATCAGTCATGACCATTTTGGAATGTACCCCTCAAGCCAAGCGATCCCAATGGATTCAAAGCCATTTAGAATTGCACAGTAAGCTCACAGGAAGTACTTTCAAACAAGAGGTACTGCAGATGCATCACATGTGGCCAGGACGCAGGGACAGATGGTGGTGTACCATTGCAGCAGAGTATGTCCCGCTTGAAGACATTCCTCCCATGCCATCTCTGCGGTTTGATCCTTTCATTCTTCATCTCATCCCCAACATGATGGACAGTAACACATGCGACATGAAACAACTTGTACTTGATGATGATGAACTCAGTGCTTTCCAAACGGATGGAAGGGGTATCCGATCACATTGCATTAACACATGTAAGGGGATGCCAACAGGCAAGGGGATTTACGGAGTGCTTGTGCCGTTTGAGGATGCAAAGCAGCCTCACATGTCTCTCCGTGCGCGCCATTTACACCCGACTGAGGTATCACTGATGTGCGGACTCCCTCCGTCATACTTGCAAGCATCCGACACCAGCAACATTCGACTTGACCTGGCAGGAGTGGGTCAATGCGCATCGCCACTCCAATCTTTGTGGGTGTTTGCCAACGTTTTGTACCAATTGCAGGACAAAGGACTGGTTCAACAGGTGGAACATCCCAGGCATTCCCTAGCACAGTTTTGTCGAATTCTGCTGAAGGAAAGGGATGAAATTTGGCCACATGCTGACACGAAATACAACCGGATTTTCCAACATGAAATTAACAGCATTGATCATCCTTTTTGCTTTCCAAGTGTTGAGGAGTTGGATAACATGGAATTCAGGCCGAAAGGTGCAGGTGAAGCAAAGTTGGGCGCCCGAGCGTGTACAAAGATTCCCCGTGCCGGTTGTACAGCAAACACCGAACAGGATCCAAAACCCAACAACCTGATTGGAACCTACGAGACATCCGTTCATGGAGCATCTGCACCAGACAGCGGGCCGTGTACAAAGTTCCCAAGGGATGCATCCGAATACCCTAGGAATGTTGGAATCCCAGAAGACAGACTTGCAGCCGAAGGGACGACAAACACAGATCGAATCTCTCCGACCGTAGTGGCGCCCATACCCGATGCATCCGACCATGCCATCATCTCCAAATGCACAGGACATCCGAATCCCGACCGCATCCGATGTACAGAAGCATCCAGGGTTGCATCCGATCGGTGTACAGATCACATCATCTCCAAAGACGCCGGACATCCGAATCCCGACCGCATCCGATGTACAGAAGCATCCAGGGTTACATCCGATCGGTGTACAGACCACATCATCTCCAAAGACACAGGACATCTGAATCCTGACAGCATCCGATGTACAGAAGCATTCAGTGTCGCATCCGAGCGGTGTACAGATCACATCATCTCCGAAGGCACAGGACATCCAAATCTCGACTGCATCCGATGTCCAGAATCATCCAGGGTTGCATCCGAGCGGTGTACAGATCAGATCATCTCCGAAGGCACAAGACATCCGAATCCCGACAAAAACCGATGTACAGAAGCATCCAGGGTTGCATCCGATCGGTGTACAGATCACATCATCTCCAAAGACACCGGACATCCGAATCCCGACCGCATCCGATATGAAGAAGCATCCAGGGTTACATCCGATCGGTGTACAGACCACATCATCTCCAAAGACACCGGACATCCGAATCCCGACCGCATCCGATGTACAGAAGCATCCAGGGTTGCATCCGATCGGTGTACAGATCACATCATCTCCAAAGACGCCGGACATCCGAATCCCGACAGCATCCGATGTACAGAAGCATCCAGGGTCGCATCCGATCGGTGTACAGATCACATCATCTCCGAAGGCACAGGACATCCGAATCCCGACAAAATCCGAGGTACAGAAGCATCCAGGGTTGCATCCGATCGGTGTACAGATCAACAGATGACATCCGTTGCATCCGGCCTGCAAAATGCATCCGTTCGCCGAGAAACCAAGCATGCATCAGATGCCTTTGCTGACCTAGGTGTTGATTCACGTGAAGCCCAACATGGCAATGTCAGAAGTGACATGGATGAAAGGCAGCCTCTTTCTGGTCCATCAGTTTCCACAACAAAAGCCAAGATGAATGACAGGATTGCCAAAGGCAAAGGTGGATACATACTAGCGAGCATTGCCCCTCATGACCAATCCTTGCCGACAAGCATCAACCCGGTGAAAGAAGCCTCGCAAGCAATGCAAATTACAGCCTTTTCCACCAATGGAGGGGTTACAGGCTTTGAAACCAGCAAAGCACCTGATTCACCGCCATCACTCAAGCGACCGGTAGAAGAGAGTGCAAGCAACAGCACAAAAAGAGCCAAGCTTGACAATCCAAATGCACCAGACCGAGTGCACCAAGACGGAGAACACCACCAAAATGAGCATCAACAAATATCCATGCAACAGGTCGAGCCTCCTGAGTCACAAATTGCCAACACCAAGACTTGCTGGATTGCTCATGAGAACGAAACCATGTTTCCCATTGCCGTTTCAATTGAGTCCACCATTGGTCAAGTAGTTTGCGCAGAAGCAAAATTCCAGCACCTCTGGAATCATGGCGATCACCCTTTCAAACCAGTTAATGGGGTGGGGTTCCAATTGTCAGTGTCCGAGATCATGCCAGACCATCAACTCCTAATTGTTCAGCATGGACATAACATTGGAGACCCAAAGGGCCAACCATGCCTGGATGGAATGAAACGTTCCCAAGCCCTTTGGCATCAGAAAGGATGGGTTGCGATGGATGAAATGATCTTTTACCTTCAGACAATACATGTTTCAGGGACAGCAGTCACCACCAGCCCTTTGGACTTGAGGCAAGAAACAGAAAACCCAAGAATCTTGGCAGATTGGATCCTCACGGCCGTTGAGAGCGCGCAGGAGTCCAAACAAATGAAACTCATGACTGCGGGTTTGTTCAAAGATCACTGGTTTCCAATCATGGTTGAAGTAGTCAATGACAATTTCACCATCACAACAACATATGATATGACGCCGGCAGTAACAGCATGGATCAAGGCTGAGATGCTGGAAGAATATCAGCAGGCAAGTGGAACACACATGCCCCATGCGTTTGCCAATGATTGTGGATTTCAGACCATTGCATGGATCATCAACCAAGCATTGGATCCGGACAGCAACCGTGCAATCTCTCCCGATGAAGCTGAGTCATGGAGAAAGAATTTTGCTCACCATCTGGTCTTGTCAGGAGCACATGATCCACCAGTATATGCTTTGCCGCTTGGAGGAACATCTGACCAGCACTTGCCAGCACTACGAGAACTCCTCGAAAAGCACGGAGTGAATAGCAACAGGTCATCACAAGCTGCACAAGCTTTGACGCAAAAGCTGGGAGCCGATGTGATCCAACGCACATTACAATCACCAAAGCCATGGCAGGACTTGAAAGCAAGAGCATCACAGTTGAAGCCTCCTTTTCGAATTGTCTTGAGTGAAGAACTTCAAGCCAGTATCGACAGCAAAATCGCATCGGGACAAGCCGTTGGCAGAAAGCAACACAAAGCAAAACAATCCAAGCCGCAGGAACCCCAGCGCCTCATTGCCGATCAGGTCCAGATCCCCAACACGATCTTCCAGCAAGCCGATGGAGTCCTTTTGCAACAGATTTCCCCTAGCCAATTCAAAGCCCAATGCAAAGGGATCGCGTGTGTATCCTTTGATGATGCTACACCCTTCCTGCAGTTGAAAGTGCCACTCACACAGGAAGGCCTAGGTTTGATTGTGCTTGACCATGATGATCCTCGCCTGCCATCGCATGATTTGGTACGTTTCCCAGCCACCTGCAAACCTACGGGTGAACCAATGTTGGTCATGGGAGCTCTTTTCCAGCTAGGCCAGAAACGAGTTCACAGAGCAACACCACAATCCGCAACCAAGATTGAGGAAGTGGAAACACGTGTCATCCGTGCACTGGTGTTTCAGGATCAGACCAAACTCAAATGGACCGATATCACGGACAAGCCGGTGCGAACTTTGTTTGCTGAAAGTGAGTTCACCGCAAATCCCGATTCCATCGTTGACGTTTGGGACCGCCAGTATGTGACAAAACAGTACAAACGATGCAAACCAGAGGAAGCAGAGATCTTCATTGTCACTTTCCGTGTCAAGTGTCCTGCCCATGAAGTCATCCTAGACGCCAGCGGTCAAGCAGGGAAGTACTTTGAACCGCGTGATCATACGGGTAGGTCCCCAGACACATCCTACAAAGTAATCTGGATGCCACGCAAAAATTTCCAGGATGTCATGCTTGCCAAACAAACCAGTTTGCACCCAACTTGGTTAGTTCGCAGCGGGGATCGTTTTGGACTGAGAACCCATTGTGAATTTGCAAAGGATATCCATGAACAACACCGCCCAGACGTGGATTACATGGCAGGAGAACAGATGACCACATACCGTGTTGGACCACTGCCTTTTGGTACCACCAAGAGCTCTCTACAGAAGCTCTACAAGGAGTGGGGGTGGACAGCACGCCCCGGCCAACCTCTGGGACAAAGTATTGGGCAGGAAGGTGTCTTCTGGTCAACCCAATCCAGTGAAAACCCTTCCCACTGGGTATACTCCCTGGAACAAGGAGATATTTTGATCTCACCGATCAAACCGCACAAAACTCAGGCCAACAAATTTCCCAGCCAAGGTTTGGTAGCGTCCAGACGGACCATCCAATCAATGACACAGGTACCAGAAACAGACAAGAGCAAACCTGCCACAGATCCATGGCTGCAAGCCGACCCGTGGAGTCAAGGAAGTGGTTTTCCTCATGCCTTGACACCTGCCCAATCTGCCGCCATCGAAGCATCCGTTGCCAAACATGTCACCGCAAACATGAAGTCCCACAAAACCGGGGATGTGGATATGGAAGGGGTGAATGATCAGAGGGTTGATGAGTTGGAAACGAAAGTCCAAACACTGCAGCATAATGTGAACCAACTGACATCCAACCTGAATGCCTTCCAATCCCAACAACAACAGCACAATGGACAGATGAGCTCCCAGATTGTTGCGGTGAAGAACCAAGTGGATGCACAGCAGTCCAGCCTTCAAAAAATGCTGGAGTCAAAGATGGATGATCAGATGAGCAGGATAGAAGCGCTTTTAAATAAGCGTATGCGTCACGGCGAGTGACACACAATCCATGATTGCATGCCAAGGTGCCATCCGCGCACTAGCAAATTAATGGTTCATTTGACCATTGACGGGATTTACATTAGGATTGGTGAAGCTTTGAACCCCGGCCCTGTTCAACCAGAGCTTATCCTAGGAGCCATCAATCCGAATGGGATAATGCACAAGTTGGATCAACTCCAGGAACTCCCAAGTTCCACATGTACAATTTATGGAGTTTGCGAATCCCACTTATCAAAACCAGGTATTGCCAAGTTTCAGCGAAGCCTAAAACTGGTAAAAAGCCATTTTCGTTTCCATGCCGGAGCTCCAGCTCCATTGCGGAGTACCTCTTTCACTGCCATTGGTGGCAAACACACAGGTACAGGGTGGCTTTCCAACACACCCACAAGACCCTTGCATCCGACCTGGTCAGATGACGATTGGAATGAAGCCAGATTTGCCATGCACTCATTTCTTGTCAACGACCAGTGGTTGACAGGAGGGGTCTTCTATGGATACGCACAACAAGCCGCCACACAGGAAGGTAGGAACCACACAAATGCCTTGATGGAAAAAGTGGTAGATAGGTTACTCATGGCCAAAGGAAAGCGATTCCTTGTGGGTGACTTTAACCAAGAATATGATGTGCTCGAACAGCCAAAGCGACTATATGACCAAGGATGGAGAGAGTGCCAAGTCCTCGGAAAAGAAAAATACGCCCGACCAATTTCAAAAACTTGCCACAAAACTACTACGAAAGACTTCATTTGGATTAGCCCGGAATTAATCCCTTTCTTCCATAAAGTAGAAACTTTTGATCAATTCCCAGATCACCTTACGCTCTTTGCTGAGTTCACAAACCTTGGTAAACCCCCTAAATCTTTTGTTTGGAGGCAGCCACGTGCCATTGACTGGTCAAAAGACATTGGCATTTTGCCAGAAACGTCCACCCATACCAATCCAGATGATTGCACGCAAAAGCAGCTTGAAGCCATTGCTAAAGGGTTTGAAGATGTCGTAAATGACAAAATGATCACTAAATCCCAAAAAGGGTTACAAACTTGCCAGCGGGGCAGATCCCTCACAACGCAGACGAAGGTCATTCAAGACCACACCAGGCCACTCCAACCCACCAGGCATGGCCATGTGAAGCCTGAATATCATGGTCAATGCCTCAGACACCAACAGTGGTATAAACAAATGAGAAGACTAGAATCCATCAAGCGCCTTATTCACAGCAATAATTTTGCTTCACAAAATCAGCAGATACATGCCCAACGTGAATGGAGAAGTATAATCACTAGCTCCGGTTTCCCATTCGGTTTCCAAAATTGGTGGAAAAAATGCCCAACCATGACTGCGGGTGCTCCCCGGGAACTGGGATGGCAGATACCCACCCTTCACGAAATTGACCAAATTGTTTCTATATTTGAAGCCAGCTTTAGGGACTTTGAAAAAATCCTCATCCGCGACCTGCAGAATACCGCAAGAGCCAATCGGGTCGCCAACCCAAATCGAATCTTTGCAGACATTAAATTGCCCACAGCTTCCCCAGTCGAAATATTAGATGACTCATGCAGCTGTGAAGTTTTGGACATAGACCTTGAAGATAACTCCATAACCCTGTCCAATAATCCCCAGTTTGATGATAGTCTACCAATCATCTCCCCAGATGGATTGATTGACCCCATAATCTGCTCCGATGACAAAATTTGGGCTGAAAAAGTTGACCATATTCAAATCGGAACCACCTTGCGTCAAGAAAAGTTTGTAGGAGACCTGGAGGAGCTCTTCCGGAGATTCGGTGATGAGTGGCGGAAACGTTGGGACCGACATGTGGAGATGCCAGTTGACTATTGGGATCCAGTTGTAGCACACTTCACTAAGAACACACCACGAGGAGATCCCATGCCACATACCAAAATCAGCCTGGACACCTGGTACAACACACTCAAAAAGAAAAAGAGCCGGTCCGCCGTCGGACCAGATGGGTGGTCCCGGCAGGACCTACTACACATGCCGAAGTACCAAACACAAGTACTTCTCGACCTCCTATACGCCATTGAGTGTGGTAAGGAGTGGCCATCATCCCTACTGGTAGGACTAGTCCATAGTCTAGAAAAAATCCCAAACGCCTCAAAAATTTCCCAGTACCGGCCTATAACCCTGTTCAGTGTTATATATCGATGTTGGTCATCCATCAGGTCTCGTGAGATTCTTAGGCATGTTTCTCGATACGCCCCAACAGGATGTTTCGGAAATGTTCCAAATAGATCGGCATCGCAAGTCTGGATGGGAGTTCAAACTGCCATTGAAGCAGCCAATCATGATTCAACAACAATCTCAGGGGCTATAGTTGACGTGGTTAAATGTTTCAATCATCTACCACGCATCCCGATGATGGAGGTTATTACACATTTAGGAGTTCACCCCAACCTGGTATCAACGTGGTTTCGGGCACTACAAGGGATGGTCCGCCGATTCAGCATCAGGGGGTCAGCTGGACCACCCATAAAATCCAGCACAGGATGTGCGGAAGGTTGCGGATTAAGCGTGGTAGGGATGTTTGCCATAAATTGCCTCATCGATTGTTTCATGAAACACCGAGCCCCTGAAGTCAAACTCTTGTCTTTTGTTGATAACATGGAAGTTATCTCCAACAGGGCACACCTGACACGAGAAGGTTTGTATCAACTAAGGAGAATCACTGAACTTTTAGACATTCAACTCGACGAAAAGAAGACAGTTGTTTGGTCAAATGATAAAAAGGAAAGGAAATACTTCCGAGACAGTGAGCACCAAGTGGCAATGTGGACACGTGAATTAGGAGGACACGTACAGTTTTCCAAACAAATGACAAATAGTGTCATCACTAACAGAATCAAGAATTTCAAGTCCAGATGGCCCGACATTGCCAGATCCCAAGCACCGTACACCCAGAAACTGAAAGCCATTAAAATGGTGGCATGGCCCAATGCCCTTCATGGAATAACCTCGGTCCACTTAGGTGATGAACACTATGAACACCTGCGTACTGGAGCACTGCGGGGGCTTGGGGAACATATGTGGGGGGCATCACCCGCCATACACCTTAGTCTAGTGGAACATCCTTCGGCCGACCCTGGTTTTCATGGAGTCCTCAAAACAGTCATGGACTTCCGTTCCATGACAGAAGCAGATGCCTGCATTCCAGTATTGACCAAACTTGCTGAGCCCAATGACAGGAAAAAACCAACAGTAGGGCCGTGCAGTGTTTTGCTGCAGAGGCTGCATGCAATCAACTGGCACTGGGATGATGATACCTTTTGGGACCACAATGGTTTCGCAATTGACTTATGGCAGCAACCAATACAAGACATCAGACTGCGCCTGACAGAAGCGTGGCAAACCCAAGCGATGCATCATGTTGCACACAGAGCCTCATTCCAAGGGATTTCCCAAACTTCACCATACCTTACTACAGCAAATTTCCCGCAAAATTCCAGTGATGCCAGCATACTTAGGAAATGCCTCAACGGCACCTTTTTCACTGCTGACCATCAAAAATATCGGGATGCAGATGAAAGTACAGATTGCCCTTTTTGCCATAACGCAGACAGCCAATTTCACAGACATTGGGAATGCCCAAGCCTGGAAGATGCCAGAAAATCTATGCCTGAACACCACCGCCAACTGGCCATGCAGTCGCACCCTGCGACTTTCAACCACGGATGGATTCCAGCACCTGCAGCATTGCCTTATTTCCGACAAGCACTTCACAATATTCCTGACAACACCCATAATTTAATTATTCCCGAAATAGTCCCACCCACTTTAGACATTTTCACAGATGGGTCATGCCTTAACCCAGCCTGCAAAATGACCAGACTAGCATCTTGGGCAATTGTCCTTTACACGCCAGATAACCAACATGATTTCACACCAGTGGGAGCAAGTGTATTGCCGGGCCTGATCCAGACAATCACTAGAGCTGAACTGACAGCTGTCATAGCTGCTTTGATTCTTGAGGATCGTCTCCGTAAGCCATTTCGGTTGTGGATTGATAATGACTTTGTAGTAAATGAGTTGCGACAGGCTTTTGAAACACCTGATTTTTTCTTTTCCAAGATTTCTCACAAAACTGCCAATCATGATTTGCTATTGACCCTTCACCTGTGGGCCCACCGAACCAAACTCTTGTGTAAGGGAATTCTCAAAGTTTACAGCCACCAAGAGAACTATGAAGACGCAGACCCAGCTACTGAATTTGCAATCGCAGGTAACGCAGCGGCAGATGAGGCAGCAGGGAAAATCTGCTTTAGTTTTCCTCATGTACACAAACTATGGAAAGTGGTATCCAAGCAGGTTCGAGAGTTAGTAGCATTTCGTTGTTCTTTGCACACCATGTTTGTACAAGTTGGGAATCTTGCTTTGCGTTTAAAATCTCACCAGTCACGGGGAGTCTCTGTGGCACAAGGGCCGACCCACTCAGCTGAAACCATAGTGATGTCTCACTGGCGAGTTAGCCATTTGGGTGCCCCGCTTGCACCCTACATCACTGAGGACTGGGGTAAGATAGCGCAATGGATAGATACTATTCATGAGGATGGACAACCGATCCAGCTGTGGTCTTGGTATCAGCTTTATCTTGATCTTCAGGTATGTTACCCAAACACATCCCCATGGTATAAGAAAACTGTTAAAGCATGGCAAAATGGCCGAGATTGCCCGACAGTGCCTTTCAGGAAAAGGTGCCGATGGTTCATGAATTATGTCACACGCACATGGAAACACTTGAAGGTAGAGCCCCCCCTGCGACTTTGCAGGCCAACCTCTGACGTCTTGCAGTTCTGGTGCCCTTGTGTGACGGTCATGGTAAGTCCAGAACGAACAGCCGCAATTGACCAACAACTCGCGAGCTGCCGTGCACGATACGTGGAGTGGAAGGATCTCGATTTCTTCGGCATGTAGAAGTTTTGGGGGCTCAATGTAGTCCGCTTCGGCCGTCTACTTTGAGATCAGCAGGAAAAGTGATGGGAAAAGTGACATTTAAATTTGGTTTCACCCACTCTCCATGTTTTCGATGGCATAGCAAACTATTTGGATACAAGGATTGTGTGGACAAATTCCAGCACATGACAATCTTATTTGCAGCTGCAAATCCGCATGCCCCAGCATTTCTCGAAGCAGCGCTCATCCGTGAGTTTGGCAGTGCCATGGCTCTGGTCCAGGGGATGGGCCATGATGGGCCATGGTATTCCCAAAAATGTTCTGCTTATCATTTGTGATATCTATTTTGTGGGAGGTAACGGAAGTAGGTTGGAAACTTATACCCATATACTTATACCCAATCTTGATGTTTAATTTCCAATATTCCCCTGACCATACTTGTTAATCATATTAAGAGGATCCTATCAGAAGGGGGCTATAGTGCAACACAGTTGTTAATAAAAGGATCTTGCTGTGCAACCCAATGTAGAAACACTTGATCTTGCTAAGGCATCCGGGGCTGCAAGAACGAGAGAACTGGTGGCGATACCGTGAGCTCGGGGGATGGCCCTTTCTTTACATATTTAGTTTATCGATCTTTTCAGACTCCACCTCCAATTCGAAAACTATAGATGGATGTGCTGTGTGGCATGCCATGGTTGCAACAAGGGAACCTTTCCAACAAATTAAGTTTGTTTTTTAAATATTTCCTTGCAAAAGAAATTATGAATATATACTTCATCGCTGGAAGCCCTCGAAAAAATGTCTCATCCACGGTATGCACGCACACATCGTGCACAAGTACTTGTTGGTTTTACCTTCCAGTATATATGCATCAACCTTCTAGGCTGCAATTGCTGCACTTGGAACTTGTACAGAACAATTCGTGCCATCAAGAAATTCCGGGAAACAAAAATGCACAGCTGCCTTTGCATGTGTGCATCCCTGCATGTTTTTTTTGTTGCGTGCCTTCTTATCTTAAGACATGTACATTCATTCCTTACAAGGTTTCTCCAAATATATTTTTTGAGTATCCAAAAATCACCGGGTGTGCAAGGTTGATCCCAAGTACGCACTCCTACACAGAAACTGTTGATTTTTATATACTTCCTGTTTCTCTGAGGCCAGTTGTACTTCACAGATTCGCACTGCCCGGGCCGTCACTGAAGAGATCGGTGAAGGGAGGGCAAGACAATCCGGGATTCTAAGTTGGTCCCAAATTCCTTTGGATCATTCTGAAAGGGGTGTGCACCAAGTCATTTCCAAGCAAGGGAGTGCATTGGATGTCCCTGTCAGTGATATGACGGTCCAGGGCCAAACAGTTCCATGGATATCGCCAAAGGATTGGTTTCAGTTTATCCTGCGTCAGGGTGTTTGGCATCATCTAGCTGGAGTCAGGGCGGATGAAATGCATTTGGCAGGGCCGCTGTGGAAAACATTTTGGTCGAATTATCAAAAGCTTTATCCACACTTTGAGTTGTTTTCGAAACCTGGGGTGGACTATAGTCGCACAGTTGCTTGCTACCTACACGGTGACGAGGGTCGAACTCTCAAGAAGTCTGGCTTAATGGTGACCTCTATCCAATCTGCCTTGGGATACGGGTTCAGCCCCAAAAGACAAAAACTCTCTGCGGATGGTTTGCCAACGCCTCTGGTGAACTACGCAGGCCACACCTTTGGTTCCAGACTGGTATCTTTTGTTATTCCCAAGTCGTTGTACGAAAGCAACAATGCAGTTTTTCATGATGCTATGGAGGTTTTGGCAAAAGAACTTCGGGAACTTTATGATCATGGAGTGGTGAACCCTTATACTGGAGAGCGGTTTTGGGTAGCAATCATCGGCCTGAAGGGTGACCTACCTTATCTAGCAAAAGCTGGAGGGTTGAACCGTACCTTCAACACTGCCACAAAGCGAACTGCAAAGGATCCAGCAAAGAGAAAAAAACCAAGTGGTATTTGCAAATGGATACCTTCCTTGATTGATACTTTGGCGCCTGATGCGGCTGGTCGTTTGGTGCTTGCGAAGCGCGGCGTTGAGAAGCTGAATCAAATGTTTACGATGCTTTATGGCTCAACATCATTTCTCACGCGTGAAGAAAGTTTCTATGTGGCTGACTGTGGCCTTGTTTTTTTGGACTCGTATGCGAGACTTGCAAGGTCTGCTTACGATGCGGGGATGCCACTTTTGTATCCGCTGTATCCCAAGCTACATTACATGCACCATCTACTTTTGGAGATTGAATGGTCTGCCCGTGAGCACAACATGGCATTCAACGTAATGACTTGTGGATGCCAACAAGATGAGGACTTGGTGGGAAGAGTCTCTAGACTTTCCAGACGCGTTTCGATCAGAACTGTAATGACCCGCACTTTGTCTCGATATTTAGCAGCGGCTCTCATTGAATGGAGGGAAGCTGGACTGCTTAGGTGATCCTGGAGGAAAAGAGAAAAGGTCCGATGAGATGCATGTTAGGGATGTGCCAGATTTTGTTATCTACTTCATCATTGTGTGAGATCCTGTTTTCAAGAAACCTGGTTTTTTTTATAATAACCCGGTGATTTTTGAATACCCTAAAAAAAGAAGGTCCCTGGCTTAGAAGGTATTTGTAGGTTATCATACGTTAACCAAACTTAGCCTAGGATATAACAATTTAAACCTAGGTTATAACAGGTTATAACAGGTTATAACCTATGCCTAACCTCTTATAACCTAACCTAACTTAAAGCGCTCATCTTAGTGCTGGATCAAGATACAATTCTTTACATGGTCCAGCCCAGTGCAGCCAGATGTTTTCAAAGGTTTCGATTTGGTCATCTACCGCTCTACCACTTGGTGCCCCTAAGTGGAACAGTGTTGCCTCATCTATGAAATGCATGAAATGAAAACGACGACCCCGTCCATTTACCCAGTAGGCACCATCTCCCCCAACACAGTCATTGAAATCTTTTGGAGAATGGATTGTGGCAGGACTCGGTAGTTTTGGTTTGGTTTGATTCTCTATACAAGAGTCACACTGGAAATCTCTGGCTGCCTTAATTACTTCATCACTGGCGCCCTGGTCTTGAAGAAGTCTACTCAGCTTGTCAGGAGATGGGTGCCCCAGATTTGCATGCAACCTTCGGAGATCAGCTTTTTGGTCATTATCAAGTGCTTCAAAATGGGGACCACTTTGAGGGACAACGCTTGGGGGCCAACCCTGAATCTCAGCCCCTTGTTGATCTTCCGAAGATTCCATTTGAGAACCCTGTACCCCTGAGGCATGCTCACCCCCAAACGATTGACGAGGATCCCCACTACCCACTGACTCCTCACCACCTACGGATTCGGGGTTTGAGGGTTCCCAACGTTGTATTCCTGAAGCTGATGACCTCAAGACTCCAAAGCAAGTGATTGAGACACGTGCTGACCCTGCCCTTCGGGTTTGTTGAAGTTTTGGCAATGCCTTCCAGTTTTCGGGGGGGCCCTTATCAATGATTTCCCCAGTCCCACGATCAACCAGAATGGTACGCCTCCATGGCATTTCTTCCCCTTGGGCAAGGCTACCAGGAATTCTAAATCGTTCTGTGCCTCGGCACAACATGATCAACTTGAGTTCCAATTCAGGTACCATCAGTTGAAACAGCTGAAACAGAGGATCCCCAGGTCGAATTGGGTGACTACCTACCCGTGGAACAACACTGTTGCACCTACGTACAACTTGGCCCCACGTGGGGCTTTTTCCGTAGCCCTGGGCATCATATTCCAAGTCTGCAGGTCGCGGTGGCCCTTTAATTCCATGCCGTTGTCTCTTTGGACACGGCTCTTCGGATGGTGCCATTTCGGGTTTGTCGGCTTCCCTGCTGACAGCAAAAATATCAACAGGGTCTTCTTTCAGTTCACATTCCTCCAGTATGACACGTGCCATGTATGCTCCAAACACAGGTGTGTATGCGGCAGCATATGCTGATACATTTTGGCGACCCTCCCTAGTTTTCACACTTCCTTGTATGGTCTCATGCTCATGGTCATCCAAACACCGTTTGTCATGCAAATGGTAATGAACATAACCACTTGAAGTATGGACCTTGGTTCCCTTTCGAAGGTATTTTTGTTGATGAGGGAGTCGAAGTTTTCCAAGTCGACACATGTCAAAGCATGAACGGAATGTTCCCGACACCAGTTCTTGCAATTCCGGTTGGCTAGTCATACATGATTCACTTGGTTGTTCCAGGTGCACATGCCTTTTCAGGGATACTTGATGACGGTAGATCTCATTGCAAAGGGTTAGATGACCACGATTATCCCTTCTACGTTGAACCACCCTGTCATGATCCTGAAGACTTCGGGACATATTAAGGTTAGAGAACTTCCCGTATAGCTTGCACTCTGGTGCCAACCAAATATGTCGAGGTTCATACAATTGGATCCACAGCCAAAGTTTCTGGACACCCTCCGTTGTTCCCAAGTCCCCATCATTAATGGTGAATCTCTTTGCCACTCCCCCAAGTCTTAACACCTGTTGAGTAATTTGGGAATTGGGTCCACAGTAAACTTCTAGGAGGTCCAGAGGCCGACTTTGCTGGGATTCCCGTACGGATTCATTGACCATTGTCCAGTCTTTCCCTTTTAAACCATCAGCATGACAGTCGAGGCGAGACAATCCGCCTGTAACCTCTGAAATCTTTTGATTGATGGCATCATGGATCGACTGTTCCTGGACACTGGTCATCAATGTCGGAGGTTGGTCATTCATGATATACTGGGCAGTTTGCTCGATAACTGGGCTTCTTCTCGGGTTCGGTCTCTGGCACCTGTGTTTCGATGGCCAGTTGCCTTTCCAGGATTGCGATCTGTGTCTTGAGCTCCTGGACACGTTGATGGTTGATCTCGGTCTCCATCCCTGTTGTTGATCCCGTTGCACTGCCTCTCTTCGGCTTCCGGTTGGTCTCGCTGCTGACCGCAGCGCTCGATTCGATCTTCGTCCACTCGCTGTTCTGTGCTGGTGGGCTCATCTTCGATTCGTTGATCTTGATCATCCCCTTGGGTGCTGCCATTGCTGCAGCTGTCTTCTGTGGCTCTTTCTCGACCTTGTCGAAGATCTCCTCGGAGGTTGGGGCTGCATGTTGTCGCATCCTGCAGTACATCTGGAAACTTCGAAGTCACGGAGACACGGCTTTCCGGTTCCAGACCTGATGCACATAACACATGTCTGAGTGTGCCTCCGCGAAGCTCTGTCCGGCATGTTTGCCAGACGGGATCACGATGGGCGCAGAGTCTCTACACCGGGTGGTCGTTGAATCGGCCCCTTGATGTTCTCCTGGTACTGGCTGTTGCCCCTGAGTTCCGGGTCCACGCTGATTGTCAACGGGTCGTCGAGGTACCCCTTGTTTGTCATGGCTGTTCTGCTCAATTGGTTCTTTGCGACAAAAATGACGGGCTTGAGGGCAATTGGCTCCATCCATCTCATGGTTCACATGTGTTTTCACATGACCGGTGGTGTCTGGAGCCCCTTCTTTCTGTACATCGTCTTCGGACATCACTTTGGGATTTTGATTGTCAACTGATTTATCATTCCCTTGAGGTTCTTCCCAATGTACATCCTTTATTGGGTTTCCTGGGTTATCCACAGTATTTGGTTTCTCAACTTTGGGGTTTTGGGGTCCCTGATATCCGCAACATTCACTCTCAGCATTTACCCTTCGTTCATCCATGTTTGCGACATGTATTTCATGCATGCGTGAACCCTCATGACCATGATTTTCCAAGTTCAAGATTCGTGAGAAATCAACACTCATGAGATTTTTCCGACATGTACCCAGAGGAATGCTTTGGTTGTGACCCTTGAACCACATGCTCCTATTCTCTGTGTCTATCACTGCCCTAAGAGCTTTCAACACTGAGTTTGATAGTAGAAAGGGAGTCCGACCTGGCACAACTTCCACTCTGATCCAACCACCCGTTTTCCTGGGAAAAAACACAGCAAAAGTGCTCTTGAGGATCCCTGAATTTCCGAAGCGAAACGTGACACTGGAAGGTGATGTGAAAACACGACCATGAACTCCACAGGACTTCACTAGGCCACTGAGCCTCTCATGACCTATCACTGCTCTACTTGCTCCAGTGTCAATTATGGCTTCATGCACATCCTCTTCAATTTGGAAAACTGCGGCTGGGTCATCACTCGTGAGTGAATGAGACATGACCGGATTCAGGCCCGTCTCATGAGTGGGTGTCATCCGAGGTGACATGATCTCGGACTTGCACTTGGCCATCACGTCAATTCCATGCTTCCTACAACATGCCATGAGACGGTTGTGAAGATTTTCAGAAAACATGGGATCAAACTCACCGTTACCAACCTGATTCACTACTTCACATCCGAAGCAATCATGGCACATGTTCCCATTTTGATTACCAAAAATTTCAAACACTGGTGACCGTCCTGTTTTCTTCCTAATCTCCTGGTACTTCTCCGCAGTCTCGGGCAAGGTGTCAACAACCTCCTGAACGGCCGCATCCTCCATCTCATAGGGCTCAACGGTCATGTTGATCGTCTCTGACTTCGACTGTGCCTCAGGTCTCTGAGGGCATTCCCTCTTCCAGTGACCCGGCAATCCACACAGCCTACAGGTGCTGTTGGCGATCCTGTCGGCTAATGAACGTCGCCGAGCCCCGGCGGATCCTATGCTCTGGTTCCCCATGAATGGCCCCTTTCCTTTCTTCGATCCCTTGCTCTTGTTCTTGCCTTTGACTGGCCAGAAACCACGTGCTCTTGCCCGTTCTCTGACTCGAGCTCTGGCCTCCTGATAGGAGACAAAGCAGGATGCCAGGCTGGCACTCTCTTGGATGGTCTCCACAATCTGGTCCTCGAAGTCCAGGACAAACGTCGCGTCCTCGTCACCCTGATCGGCCAAGACCTGAAAGGTCTGTTCTTCATCGAAATCTCCCTGCTCTCCATCAATTGCTGTATGATGGATTGATTCCTCCTCTTCCATGGTGTAGGCCTCATAGGTCTTTTTCACCTGTGGGTTTCGGCTGCCCTGGAGGTCCTGAAAGAACCTGGAACCCAACAATCTCATACTTCGTCGAGCCAGATCGTATGTCAACTGGCCTCCATTGTCCATGATGATCTTCTTGCGGTCCTCCGGACTCAACGTTGACTGACGGACCAAGACGTAAGCCCGTACGTCCTGGAGTGACACTCCTTTCGAGATGAGGTCCTCGAAGGCAATGTCGTGCCTAGCCAAGTAGCTGTCATTGGTCTCGTCCTGTTTCTGGCTAACCATGTACAAGGCTCTTTCAAACAGATCGTATCGATCTTCCACGTCCGTTCTTCCCCATTGTCCTCCAAGAGCTTCTATGAGGTGTTTCACTCCGTCCTTCTGTCTCAACTTTGTTGCGTCCAGTCTAGTGATCTTCTGAAAGGCGGCCCCTTCGATCATCAGCGCAGCCCTCGGAGCAAGGTGCTCTCGATGTTCCTCAGGCCAGATTGAGTGCTGTAGACCCTCAAGTCTGTGGTGCTCGGATCGAACCGAGGTATCTGTCCCCATGGGAGTGACGTTGGTGGCAACGTCAGAGTTGCGGATGGATCTGCTGCTTCCGCAGTCTCCGACATGGCTCAGTTCAATGGCCCTACAGTGCAGTCCTATGCTTGTAGGACCCAAAATTTCTAGATTTCCTGACCCTGTCAGTGACCCCTCTAGATATGGAGCTTACTGCGGCAGCTTAGCGCTCCGCTACCAATGTGAATCCACTGAATAATGTTACCCCAAAATTGGTTGGAATGTTCCCTGACTTTCCTATCAACTGTGCACACCTGAGAAACCCCGTTTCCCTTCCTGATCACCCTGTGATGTCCTCCCGCCCTCCCGTCTGGATGAGCGGCACAGCGGCGCGGCGAGTTGCCATGCTTGATGTGGCATCAGATGGAACAAGAGACATCACTCATGGACATGTGGTTCATAAGTGGTTGGAATATTAACAATATATATATATACAATCATATATATATATGTAATATATATATATATATGTAATATATATATATATGTAATATATATATAGATATGTAATATATATATGTAATAAATATATATATATATATATATTTATTTATGTTTGGTATGTATATAAATATATTATGTAATATATATATATATATTATGTAATATATATATATTATGATATATTTACATATTTATTTATTATGTAATATATATATATATGATGTAATTTATATATATAAGATGTGATTTATGTATTTATATATATATGTATGTATAATGTATGTATGTATGTATGTAATGTGATGTAATGTAACGTAATGTAATGTAATGTAATGTAATGTATGTATGTATGTAAGGATGCATGCATGCATGCATGTATGTATGTATGTAATGTAATGTAATGTAATGTAATGTAATGTAATGTAATGTAATGTAATGTATGTATGTATATATGTATATGTATGATGTAATTTATGTATATATATATATATATATGTGTGTGTATTATTATATATATATAAATTTATATTATTAAATAAATATATATATATATATTGTAAAAGATATATTATGCAATATATATATATATGTATTATGTAATATATATATGTATTATGTAATACATATATATATATATATTTGTATTATGTAATACATATATATATATAAACACACACATATATATATATATATATTCATATACTGGCTATATTATATATGTGCTGTATATTGTAGCTTGAAGGCATTAAATAAGAAACAATATATGAGTTGACTTTTACTCGTGTGTGATATTATTTGCAGATTCTGAGTCCTACTAACTCTAGTGCAGCCCGTTTTTGTCATGCTGAACTTCAAATGGTAATGGGAATCATTGGACCAGGGGGAAAACCAGTTGGATCTCATCAACATCACGTATCTAAAGTTTCTACTTAGCACGGACCTTGATTTTTCCCGAGAGCGTCTGAGCGCAGGGTTCTTCCAATAGTGGGGGTCTGTATCTCATCTTCACTTCTTCTCATCTTCACATCTGCTCATCTTCACATCTGCTCATCTTCACATCTGCTCATCTTCACATCTTCTTATCTTCACATCTTCTCATCTTCACATCTGCTCATCTTCACATCTCTATCTTCACATACTCACACCTTCTCTTTCTCTCTCTCTCTCTCTCTCCTCTTTCCTCTCTCCTTTCTCTCTCTCCTTTCTCTCTCCCTTTTCTCTCTCTCTCGCCTTCTTTATCTTTCTCTCTTTAGGCCGAGGGTGGTGCCGGCGGGGAGTCACGAAACGTGAACCCTTTCGCACGAAATGAGGGTCGATCGGCGAAAACTGAGGTAAAATTGCCAGTTTACTTGTGCCGGAGCAACCTTTTCGCACGAAATGAGGGTCGATCGGCAAAAACTAAGGTAAAATTGCGAGTTTACTTGTCCCCGAGCAACCCTTTCGCACGAAATGAGGGTCGATCGTCAAAAACTTAGGAAAAATTGCGATTTTACTTGGCCCCGAGCAACCCTTTGGCACGAAATGAGGGTCGATCGTCAAAAACTGAGGAAAAATTGCGATTTTACGTGTCTGTGTGTAAAAGCGTCTGTGTGTAAAAGTGTTAGTGTGTAAAAGCGTCTGTGTGTAAAAGCTTTTCTGCGTAAAAGTGTCTGTGTGTAAAATGTGTGTAAAAGTCTGTGTGTAAAAGCGTCTGTGTGTAAAAGCGTCTGTGTGTAAAAGTGTTAGTGTGTAAAAGCGTCTGTGTGTAAAAGCTTGTGTGTGTGTAACGTCTGTGTGTAAAAGCGTCTGTGTGTAAAGTGTTAAAAAGCTTTTGTGTGTAAAAGCTTTTGTGTGTAAAAGCTTTTGTGTGTAAAAGCGTCTGTGTGTAAAAGCGTCTGTGTGTAAAAGTGTTAGTGTGTAAAAGCGTCTGTGTGTAAAAGTTTTGTGTGTAAAAGCGTCTGTGTGTAAAAGCGTCTGTGTGTAAAAGTGTCTGTGTGTAAAAGCGTCTGTGTGTAAAGGTGTCTGTGTGTAAAAGTGTTAGTGTGTAAAAGCGTCTGTGTGTAAAAGCTTTTCTGCGTAAAAGTGTCTGTGTGTAAACGCGTCTATGTGTGTAAAAGTCTGTGTGTAAAAGTGTCTGTGTGTAAAAGTGTTTGTGTGTAAAGGCGTTTCTGTGTGAAAGCGTCTGTGTGTGTGTGCAAGCGTCTGTGTGTAAAAGCTTTTGTGTGTAACTGTGTGTAAAAGCGTCTGTGTGTGAAAGTGTTAGTGTGTAAAAGCTTTTGTGTGTAAAAGCTTTTATGTGTAAAAGCTTTTGTGTGTAACTGTGTGTAAAAGCGTCTGTGTGTAAAAGCGTCTGTGTGTAAAAGTGTTAGTGTGTAAAAGCGTCTGTGTGTAAAAGATTTTGTGTGTAAAAGCGTCTGTGTGTAAAAGCGTCTGTGTGTAAAAGTGTCTGTGTGTAAAAGCGTCTGTGTGTAAAGGTGTCTGTGTGTAAAAGTGTTTGTGTGTAAAAGCGTCTGTGTGTAAAAGTGTTAGTGTGTAAACGCGTCTGTGTGTAAAAGCGTCTGTGTGTAAAAGCGTCTGTGTGTAAAAGTGTCTGTGTGTAAAAGTGTTTGTGTGTAAAGGCGTTTCTGTGTGAAAGCGTCTGTGTGTGTGTGCAAGCGTCTGTGTGTAAAAGCGTCTGTGTGTAAGAGTGTCTGTGTGTAAAAGCTTTTCTGCGTAAAAGTGTCTGTATGTAAACGCGTCTATGTGTGTAAAAGTCTGTGTGTAAAAGCGTCTGTCTGTAAAAGCGTTTGTGTGTAAAAGTGTTAGTGTGTAAAAGCGTCTGTGTGTAAAAGCTTTTGTGTGTAACTGTGTGTGTGTGCAAGCGTCTGTGTGTAAAAGCTTTTGTGTGCAAAAATGTCTGTGTGTCAAAGTGTTTGTGTGTAAAACCGTCTGTGTGTAAAAGTGTCTGTGTGTAAAAGGGTCTGTGTGTAAACGCGTCTGTGTGTAAAAGCGTCTGTGTGTAAAAGCGATTGTGTGTAAAAACGCTTGTGTGTAAAACCGTTTGTGTGTAAAAGCGTTTGTGTGTCAAAGCTTCTGTGTGGAAAAGCGTCTGCGTGTCAAAGCTTCTGCGTGTAAAAGCGTCTATGTGTAAAAGAGTTTGTGTGTAAAAGTGTTTGTATGTATAAGTGTTTGTGTGTAAAAGTGCCTGTGTGTCAAAGCGTCTATGTGTATAAAAGCTTCTGTGTGACTGTGTGTAAAAGTTTTTGTGTGTAAAAGCGTCTGCGTGTAAATGCTTCTGTGTGTAAAAGCTCCTGTGTGTAAAAGGCTCTTTGTTAAAAGTGTCTGTGTGTAAAAGTGTCTGTGTGTAAAAGTGTCTGTGTGTAAAAGCATCTGTGTAAAAGCGTATGTGTGTAAAAGCTTCTGTATGTAAAAACTTCTGTGGGTAGAAACTTTGTGTGTAAAAGTGTCTGTGTAAAAATGTCTGTGTGTAAAAGCATCTGTGTGAAAGCGTATGTGTGTAAAAGATTCTGTATGTAAAAACTTCTGTGGGTAAAAGCTTTGTGTGTAAAAGGGTCTGTGCGTAAAAGGGTCTGTATGTAAAAGCGTCTGTGTGTAAAAGCTTTTGTGTGTAAAAGTGTTTGCGATGCAAACTATTGTCTTGCACTTCTGCTATTTTGTCTTAATTTTCCTCTTCTCGACTGCATATAACACATCTTTAATATATTGTTTCTAATATGGGGTCTCCATACTAACAAGAGAAGACCCTGCTCCTCTACGCTCTCGGGCCATCCGTCGTCTAGTTACTAAAATCTGGGAGACCTTTAGGGTCATGTTGCTGGTGCTTCCGATATTGGGACACTACTCACTGCTGGGTCTCAGGCAGCTCCAGCGGCGCAGCAGCGCTGTTGGCGGGCAGCTTCCAGCTGGCGCAGTTCTCTGGGGAGGAGGTGGGCTTGGCGATGTGGCTTGGAGCAACTGGAGGTTGGACAGGTTGGGATTTGGGGGACTTATCGGAGTCAACAACCTAGTTACCCAAGTACATATTCCCAGTATATCCCAATAGATCCCAGTAGTTCACCATGAAAAATGGTGGTTTTATGGGGATCTACTGGGATATAGGGATCTTAATGGGATTTGAATGTGTCAATAACAATGGTCACCCTGAAATGGGGAGCAACAATGGTGGTGCACTGAAAGATCGCCAACCTTTTCCAGCTTTGTGGGGGTTTCCTAAAATCGGGGGACAAAACCTAGGGGGATGGGTCAAAACCTATTTGTTATCATATTTGGGGGAATCATCATCCACTAACCAGCTATTTGGGATCTGAATGGGATCTAACTGTCGTCACCGCGCTCCTGCACTGAGCCAGACTACGAAAGGAAAGACAGAAAACCAGACATTCTTTCCAGGACATCAAGGAAGACCTCAACCTGATTCGCCAGACGATGGCAAAGGCAGACTCTGTGCAACAAAGGCCTTGGGAAGAGAGCAAGCCGTTTGCAGTTGCGCGCCTGGATCGCGACCATGGCGATCTGAAGCAGAAGCACACAAAACTGAAGCAGCAGCACTTGGAAACCAGAAGAGCGGTTGTCGAGGTTCACAACCGTGTTGTTGCACTGGAAGGATCCCATCAACGAGTGGGATTCTTGA